TCCAACATGCTCCAGGCTGACCTTGTGAATGAGCCCTACGGCTTGACCTTCAATTTCACCGAATTTGCCATGCTGCCGTCAGAGAAGCAGCAGCAGATCTACTACAAGGAGGGGCAGCCTTTTGTGCCGTTCGGCCAGCATGGAATGACTGTGGATGAAGAGCTCCACACAATGAAGAGAACCGGAAAGGAGTACGGTCCAGGTGAGGGTCCATCCCTTGAGGATATGGCTGGCAGCTGGGCTGGTTTCTTCCTCCATGCTGAATCGATGGACGGACATCAAGAGAAGTGCAGCTTCATCACCAGAGATGGATATTTCGAGGCTGCCAGGGTTGCCATCGAAACCGCTCTCACTCTTCGCTTTGACAAGAACAAGCTTCAACATCGTGGAGGAGTCCTGACGCCCAGCGTTGCAGGTGGCACATGCCTTCTTGAGCGCCTCATGAAGAGTGGAGTCAAGTTCAAACTTGGAGGATGGCATGAGGACGAGGAATGCGCAGCCCCTTGAGCGAGCCATGGTTATCAATGATTTCACGTCTCTTCGCACTTGTAGGTCGAAAAGGAAGTGCGACTGCTCATTGCCATCAAAGGTCAAAGGGCATCCACAGGACCCACAGACATAAGCTTGCATTGAAGTATGTCGCAGCGAGTTTTTGAAGCACTGCACAAAGCTAGTTACTGCAGGTATATGCCACCGTCCACACTCAAGACGCGTGCTGCCTCGCAGGATTCTCAAAGCTGCGGCAACGATGGTAAACCACATATATCGACGTGTCCACAGTCGTTTTAGATACTATAGATTGCCCAAGAGGTGTTATGTCGGATGAATACATATATATATATAATCAATATGTGTATGTACAATATTGCAATACATGAACACAGACGCATAGTTATTCGTTTTTACTTTTTTGTCAATGGGCTATTGTACCAGCTCTGAAACAATAATCTGTGTTTGGTGGCCAGTCCAAAACATATATCGGTGTGACGAGAGTGAATGCAAAGTCCACAAGACACTAGGGCATTCCCGTGACTCATGTCTAATGATGTCTAATGGACCTGCCTACAGAAGGCGCTTTGGGCTCGATAAAAGAAACGTTTTTCCGTGCTAGAGGTCATGAAGCTGAGAGTCGCAGGTGTTTGAACGGCCATCGACCAGAGGGCACAGCATTTTTGGAGATGAGGCCACTTCCAGCATGGGCACGATCTGGTTACCCAGCCACAAACATCGCACTTCCTTACTACTAGTAACAAGAAGCTACTAGGGGCTCCTGGCCTTACTACTAGGAGCAAGGACGCTACTAGGGGCTCCTGGCATCGCTACTAGGAGCATTCTTACTTCTAGTAACAAGAGGACGCTAGTTTTGTTGACATCTTCTGCCCCGCGGGGCTTGGTGGATTCACTGGGCCTTATTCACAAGAAAGACTTGATAGAGGGTTTCTTGGGTTCCAACAGCATGTAATTTAAGCGCGTGATACACAGGTACTTCACTGCATCAATTGTAGCGACCTGACGTATATAGCATAAGTACATACACTTACAGTATATATAGACATAAAGAATTCATAAGATGTGTCTTGAAGGGTCCAAGCAACAGTGAAGCTTCGATCTTAGTCCACACATTCCCAAGGTAATTTCACAATTCATGTGATACCACGAGAAATCATGAATTAGCAGAATGGCGTATTTTCTTGTCCTTTCTGCCCAAAGCCACAAGTCCTCCACTCGCCGGACAGGCCTGATCCACAAACGCCAGAAGCCCAGCGGTGCATTGGTGCCCACTTTTCCGTGTGGCAATTGATTTAGCATCCTCCTCCCATCCAACAACGATTTTGAATCACTTTTTTGTATTTCATGCTTTTACGTTTCAATGTTCAATCTATTTTATATATGCCGTACTTGCATTATGTGTGTCTTGGGGGGGCTAAAACCCATACAGGTGTGTTTCAGAAGCCACCACAAAATTCCCAGTTTCCCAGATTTATGTGGGATAGGAAACCCATTCCAATGTTCTACGTACTCTCACTCTTCACAAATTTTCCATTGCTCCCTAGAAGAATGGGTTCACTACTTTACTAAACTACTCATCAACTCTTCAGATTCGTGGGGCAGAAAAAAGAGAATGGATCCCTGGATCCCACTTTTTTTGGTGCCGAAAAGGCCAAAGATAGAGTGGCCTCTTTCAAAACTCCGGACTGACTCAGGTATTCCCTGGAGCCGCCGATCGCGGAGCCCAGTGGGCAAAGCTTCACGGGAGCCCGGCGATGGAACTCCCAGCCGCAGATCTCCTACATCGGCCCAGGCGGTTCCGCATGGTGCAGAAACTTGCTAATTATTTTTTGAACCAGTACTATCAGCAAATGTAAACTGTGGGAAACTAATCTCCTATGGCCCTTTTGGGGGGGACCCACTGCCATTTGTCCATTGTTGGTGTGCATTGTCCCTTGTTTCTGGATTTTTTGCGGTAGTTACAGAATCTGTTACAGACAACTTTAGCTTCTGAAGATGTTTGGGTGCTTTGTGAGCATCACTTGGGTTTGCAGCAGCCGTAGCACTGCAGAAGGAGATGGGAAGCTCAACACCATGTGTGTGTGTGTCAGTCCTGCGCTGAGATTTAAATTTAGCATAGCATGGGTGTGACTTGAGCCGCGATGACCTGGGTTAATATGTTCAACCCACACCTAAACCGACATTTGTGCACAAGCTGCCCGGGCCTGTTTCGAGCGTTTACCTCGAAGCTTGCGCATTCCCATAGAATTTCTCAACACGTTGCCAGACGATCAATCTTAGCAGTATCGTTCAGTGTTCTGTGGTCGAACAACAGTCCCGTTTTAAGGATCTATTAGGATGTATTCTTGTTGACAAGTTGACAAGTCAAAAGACCTCACATGCAATATGCACAGAACAATGAACCGTGACAGAGAGCTGGCTATATGATGCTGTTATGGAAATATGACATATTGACATTTATATATATTGCTATAGCTGTATTTGTGCATCCTGGCGACCCTTTTTTACAACACTGCTGAGCCTCAGCTGAGCCGTGACGTAGATGGTCGCGGCTGAAGCCCAGCCCTGATCTTGCTTATCCTCCAGCCAGGCACATACAGGACAGAGATTCCGGCAACCATCAAAGGAGTTGTCAAGATGAGCTCTGTCCAAAGGCTGCGGGTTCGGCTTTGTCGACTTTAGTTTCAGAGAGAAACATGAACAGCATGGGCCATGTGCAAATGTCATCATCCTTAAGGATGTGCATTCTGTGCTAGATTTGGGCCAAGGGGCATTGGTCCGACCTGCAAGCTGTAGAATCCAGAATTCCTCGAGTCCACGCTGATTGATGAGCCAAAATGGTGGTAAAGATCAAACGTATGCAAGCGTCCCCAGTTGTGAAACGAACATATGCCATTGGAAGGCCCGACCTTAGAGAGTTTTACCATGTTTTACCCGTCCTTCTCGTCCTCGCATAGTTCTACTTGTTTTCCAGGTTCTTTTTCATTCTTCAGGCTGTCATATGTGCCCTCGCTACAAGGTTTGCAGAGAATGATCCCGACGACATTTGCCCTGGCCCAGGGGCTGGAAACTCACTGTTGATGGGACTGCCCTACTGCCAGTAAGATCAGCCAGCATACAGAATGTCAACTGGGACTTGTGTTTAATTCTGGAGAATATGTATATATGTGTAATATTATATATTTTGTATTTATATGTGTGTGTGTCACTTATCATCTATTTCATACCATGCGTTTTCTCTTGCCCCAAAAGCTCTAGCTACTATGTGTTTTCCAGTTGAGATTCACTGCCAAGTGAGTGATTTTGGATTGCTGCAAGCTCCATGAGAAGGCCAATCGCAGAACGAATGCTAAAACCAATTGCAACAAACTACTTAGAGATATCCACTTGAGCAGAACATATCGTGAGTGGGTGTGGTTTTTTATTCATATCAGCTGAATGGACATGTGCTGTTCATATTCATTGTAGCCATAGAAAGTGGATCCCAGGCTGGAAGTGAAAACTCAACAGTCTTGGTTGAAGTTACTTGAGAGGACAAACAATTTGTATGGTTGTGATAGCGTATTGGGCACCTTCGACATATAAGTGTGAAGTACTTTGTTTTTACGTGTCACCTCGTACTGTGGCTCGAGATTATGAGAGATGAGAAGTTTACTTGGCAATCATTGTTCTTGCATATGCGACCTTTGCAGCCGCTGCATGTCTGAGGGTGCATGAAGAATCTTGATTATGCTTGCAACGCCTTCACGTTGACCACCAGAGAGTGTCAAGCTGTCGAGCTGAAGGTCAGGACACAGCCTGGGCGGATCATTGATTTTTTGCGTTCGGCAACAAGTTTGGGATTGAAGTGCTTTTGCTTCTTCGTTTGTATGAAATGGGAGATCCCTCCTGGCGTGAAGGGCTACGACTTGCAAAATGTTTCAAAGGCATGGTTCTTGCCAAAATCAAAGTAACTTTGAGGGGTCCCTACAGGAATGAATCTATGTCAGGATATGTCAGGTTAGTATTCTTGGTCATCAAGGAGCACGTGGGTTAGATTTGTTTTCGAACGTTGAGACTAGGGATTGTAGGCTAGATTAGTAGCTTGACTGCCTGGTGGACCCTATCCAGGTTGTCGATGGACTCCGAGATGAAGTCCACTTCTTGAGATCTTCACATTCAGACCTCGAGTAGTTGCTGTGCAGGTGCCCTATTGTTGCTGGTATTGTCCGTGCAAACGCCACGGACCTTGCCGCCCACAAGCAAGGGTGCCTTCCGCTTCTTTGAGAAGAGGCTATCTTCACGACCAACGTGAATGAACAAGATGAACACACCATTTCGCAAGGCCGTAACTTGCACGGCCGACTTCTTGTGGGCAACGCAGTTGCAGGATCTGGCCCGAAGAATGAAGCACAACATGAGCTTTGTCAAGAGATTTCAAAAGAGCACAAGGCGTTCGAAGAAGCGAGGGGAGGTGTGCCGAAAGAGACCGCCCCATGCTACATTCACGATGATATTTTCCTCATCGCAACTGTGCCGCACCAATGGGCCTAGGCGATGGCATGCTTGACAAGCCTGGGGTTGATCGAAATGGAAAGCGTGCTTGTGTTCATGGCTTTCAAAGCTGCACACAGGAAGTTCTTTCACTTTGACCAAGGCTCGAAAGAAGATTCTCTGCTGCATTTGAGTTCCTCCTATATCGCTATATCTTCGAATTCTGATGATTCTGATTCCGAGTTTGAATCCGCTGACTCCAGCAAAGAAGCCTCCCGGGCCATCCCGGGCCCAAGAAGCTCCGAGAGAGCTCCCTGACCTCCAGAGAGTTCAGGGAGTTCCGAGGGAAGCGCACAATGGCGGCGTATGACAAAGTCCACACGTCATTAATCCATCAATGTCACAATGTGCAACTAGAAGGTGGTAGTTGCTTGAAGGCTGTTTTTCTGCCTTCCACAAACTGCTGGCAGTGAATTCCTTGCTGGGTAGTCACATGGTGACATAGTGTCCTTGAAAATCCTTGAAAGATGTTCTTTGTATTTGGAGTTTTAGGTCAGTGTAGAATACATTTACTTTCAGAATTCCAACAGGTTGTGACCTCCCGAAAAGTCGCCATTTGTCCCGTACACTTTCTCACCCTTTTGGGACGTGCGTGGATGTATGGACCTGACCTGCATGTTTGCTTTCTTTTGGACAAAGCCTCCACCTTTCAACATGTGCGTGCATGAAGAAGAAGGATGGTCAAGTCGTGGAACACTCTGTGTTGTAAAAGAGGAGAACACTGTGGCTGGAGTGTTCACTCTGGACTCGGATGACCCTCAAGCTTCACAATATGCCAAGGCCTACCATCCAGAATCCGCCTCTAGACGTGGTGGAGGCAGCATGTCAGCAGGGAGAAGTCCACCCTCCGTTAACCAACAAGGCTGTGTGGGGTGTTAATTCCACCCAGGAACTGTTTTTCTAGCGGTACCCACTTTCAACCTTGACTATCAATACAAATTGTGGGTGGGGTCGGTGACAGGGGATGAATGGAAGTGACCATGGATGGGAACAGGAGTTCTAAGGATATGTTTCCACGGTGAAAGGAAAGAGAACGATTGCAGCCGAGTTTGTAAATGATGGATCTGGCTGGCACGAGAGGAAGGTTATTTTTGCACTGATTATGTGGTTCCCAAAAAAGTATGCAGTTACTTTATGTGCTTCCTACCAATTTGAGGCCTTTTGTTGCGCTACAGGAAGGTGTGTTGACATTGGGCTCGTTTGGAAAGGCCAAGCCTGAAGCCAGTTGCCATTCGGGATCTCCCAGTCTCAGAGCCATTACAACAAAAAAGTCATATACTGTAGCAGGAAAGATAGTTTTTGTTTTCTTTTTAAGGGGGGTAGGCCGCTAGTAGGTAGTAGCTATAGAGGAAGGTAGCTAGCTAGTAGTAGCTTTAGTAGCTTAAATAGCTACTGCTTGGGATGCAGGACAGCTCGCTCTAATGATTTGGTTTCTGGATTTTTAGGGACACTTAAGGTAGCAGGAAAGAGAGCTACTCCTTGCAACTTTGGAAACTACAATGTAGCGCTCTTTGATGGTCTTTAGGCATTTGTGCGATCCGACCAAACCGGACCACTCCTTTTAGGGGCCAGCAGTTCTCTCACATCCTGACAGGCAACCAAACCACCTTTGCACGAGCGCCTCTCGGTGAAGACCAGTGTAGATGAGTTGTGAGTGGAGGTAGGTCCACTATTTTGTCTTTGTTTTCCTGCTAAGTGTGAATGGAACATATCAGGAGCCCCCCTTTTGAGAGGACTATGAGGATGCAGAGCATGGTCGTAAAGAAGACCAGTGTCATTCATATTCAAGTATAAGGTACATGAACCAAAGCTTGGGCATGGCATCTCACTTTCCTTTTGGTACAGTTGGATATTTCGTGATCAAGCACTTAAAGATTTATGTACTGTTCCGTGAGGATCGGCTTTGCAGAGGACAGCTAAGGCTTAAGGATCACATTGTTTCCCTCAACGCTTTGAGCCTTTTGCCGTTGTGTTGGAACGGCCGCCAATGTGCCAAGTGGGCAAGAAGTTGTGCCTCACAGGGCCTGGTCAGCCTGACGGGTCACAATGCTTTGAGGGCAGCCTTTGGTTTGGTCCACAAGATTGTCCCAAAGAGGTCTCAGGGCCTCGGTCAAAGGGACTTCCAACCGAGTCCCTTTGTAGTACATCATGCCTCCACGGTTGCCATTTGTGGTACATCAGTTATACAGATCCCGCTACAGGACAGGTCAAAAGTGATGCAGGTTTTGTCCATGAACTGTAGGAAGCCAGCAACCAACCTCCCTGGATTTGCTTCCCTAGTTCCCTAGTTTGACTTCCAGCTGATCAGTTGACCTATCAATTTTGTTTACCATCTTTTGCTGAACTTGTTGTTCCGGAAAATTGGGTTCACGGGAACTTCCGGTAGCTGCAAAAGGTGAAGGTTAGGTCATGAACGAGAGCAACATTTACCAGTGCCCTTGCACATGACGATGAAGTAGCTTGACCAACACAAAAAGGAGGGGCAGTTCATCAACAAATTTGACATCGCTTCAGTGTGACCCCGATCCACCGAGAGAACGTGGACCTTCCTTGAAAGGCCTACTTGTGCCTTTAGCATAGTTTGATAGATAGATAGATGGATAGATAGATAGATTGATTGATTGATAGATTGATTGGATGGATGGATGGATGGATGGATGGACGGATGGATGGATGAGATGAGATGAGATGAGATGAGATAAGATAAGATAAGATAGGATTGATAGATTATATTAGATTAGATTAGGATAGACAGATAGATAGATAGTTACTGTATACTGATGACTAAGGAGTTGGCGGAAGTATCTCAAAAATCATGAGTCCTATCTCATGTGGAAAAGTACATTTGGGCAATTATTTCATACATAACTCCTAGCTCATGAGCCTGAGGCAGTGAAAACATGATTTCAACATGAGCTTTGTAAAGTGTTGTAGCATGCTTTGGAGCACTTTGGAGAGGTTTTTGTGGATGACAGCACATGAGTAGGAGTTGTGAGGCCTTTGATGGACTCGACATGGTTGGCGGTGGACAAACGCCAAGATGTTGAATGGCTTTGATGGAATGTCAACGGGATGTGCCATGTGCATGCCGGCAATTGAAATCGTGTGTCCGAAACATGTCCAGACCTTTATGCAGGGTTGCCCTGTGTGTTTCCTATCTCTTCAGTCTCTGTAGAGCATGTCCATCATCCCAGCACACATGAGTTGAGAGTTTCCCCAGGCAAGTGCCAACTCATCAGATCACCAAACTCCTAACTCATCTGCACAGAGTATAGATAGATAGGATAGATAAGATAGATAGATTGACTGATTGGTTGATTGATTGATCCATTGATTCATTAGATAGATTAGATAGAAAGGTTAGATACAATAGATAGATTAGATAGATTAGATAGATAGAATAGAATAGAATAGATTAGATACGATACGATACGATAGACGATAGATAGATAGATAGATACATAGATAGATAAGAAAGAAATTCAGAAATAGAGAATGAAAGACAGATAGAAAGATAGATAGATAGATTAGATAGATAAAATAGATGAGATAGATAAGATCGATAGATAGATAGATAGCCATGGATAAGAAAGAAAGAAAGAAAGACAGAAAGATAGATAGATAGATAGATTAGATAGATAAGATTAGATAGATAAGATAAGATAAGATAGATAAGATAGATAAGGTAGATAAGATGGATAGGATAGATAAGATAGAAAAGATAGGTAAGATAGGTAGGGTAGATAGGATAGATAAGATAAATAAAAACAGATAGATAGATAGATAGATCGATAGATAGATCAGATAGATTAGACAGATTAGATAGACTACTAGATAGACTAGAAAGATTAGATAGACTAGATAGAATAGATAGATTAGATAGAATAGATAGATTAGATAGATAAGATAGATAAGATAGATAGATAGAAAGATAGATAAGAAAGAAAGAAAGAAAGATAGATAGATAAGATAGATAAGATAGATGAGGTAGATAAGATTGACAAGATCGATAAGAGTGATAAGATGGATAGATGGATACATGAAAAGATAGATAGATAGATAAATAGATAGATAGACAGATCCACATCCAGCACCCAGCTTCGTCGCTTCCTCAAGGCCACGGCAAGAGCCGCCCAAAGAGTTCAGCCACTTAGCCGGGGAGCGTCGGGATGCCTCAGCCAAGCGGAAGGTGCTGAGCACTTGCCAGTCTGTTCGGCAGAATACCAAGGCGCCCGCGGCCTTTAGCATAGTGTTGAATCATCAAGAATTTCAGAGACGTGTTTCTTGATATGCAGCATTAAGAAACCTGCATAACCCCGTTGGAATCCTGCAACCACGAGACCTCAGCCCAGCAAGAAAGAGTGGTGGAAGTCCACTTCATCCTATTTCTGGAGATATGACATTCCAAGGGAGAAACGACTTTCATATTTTGTATATATATATATACTAGGCTGAAATGACAAAGGACTTGTGAAAACTACCTCCAAATTGCGGCGGCTAAGTCATGAAGGTTTACCCCCCACAAGTATTTATGTCATGAAGCAAAAGCTTGGAAACACCTCAAAATCAGAGATGCCAGAGGTTGTCACCAAAGATCCTAAAAACAGTTGATTTTATATTGACAAGCATCATGACATACGACTTTGGTATCTAAACAATGAATAAACCATGGAGAGATAGGAATTTGAGAGCAAAAACGCACAAAGGCAGACTTAAAGAAAAAAATCTTCCTATGACATGTGGACTTTCATTAGCTCTAGTCTTCCAGGAGCATGCCCCCCACCACCCCCCCCAAAAAAAAACTCAGGACCAGGTCAACAAGGCCTATGTCATGAGTGTGTGCCAATGAAATTGCCCTGTATAACATTTGTACACGACTTAGGACTTGCCCTGGGAAAGTTGTATGTCATTTCGACCCAATTGGACTAAGTCATCTCACCCTAGTATATACATACTGTGTTCTTTTGTCCACTAGGCATTTTTTCCAACTGCCAACTGATTGAAACTACCTGCAGAAGTCACTCAGCAACCTTTGCCAGGCCGGGCGAAGGTCATCAAGAGCTTCTTCCGTGCGGGCACTTTGCATGGACTCCCAGCTGAGCCCACTCCACACCCCAACATGGAAGCGACGAACATCTGGATTGCAGAGGAGATTGATTAAGGTCCATTCAATGTGGTAGGGGGCGAGGGAAATGATCCATGACGCTTTGGAGGACCAACTTGGGTTCCTTTGGGGAAACGGTCTAAACTTGCAACCAAGCAGTTGAAGCCCCAGTCCAAACCCCCAGCAACCACGGAGTCATGGTGTTTGCTACAGCTGCTTGGATACCTCTTGCAGCAAGCGTGAGATCAGGCCACCTGGCACCTTTCGATCGCGGGGTCCTCGGCTGCCACCCCGCACCTGCCCACGGAAGAGCAAAAGCCGGGCAGCCCAGTATTCGGAGACGTTGCTTTCAGAACTAGTGAGGATTGCACTGAAACATTGCTCATTTGTTGAAGCTCTGTGGATTCCATCCCTTCCAATGATTTCCAATGTGTAAAGTGTAAAGTGCAAAAATTGCTTAGATCGATCCTTGATGATTTCCTGGCTACTGTTTTCATGGCCTACCCGCAAGGCGAAAGCTGAAAGCCTGGTATGGTTGATTTCAGAATAGTGCTCGTTAAGAAAACTAGCTCTTGAACAGAGCACAACAGGTTGAGTTCTCCAAATTACCGGCAATATCCGGCAATGCAGTTCCTATTAGGATCCATTCCAACAGCGATCTCGGATAACATGTTTGGAAACTCTTCACCGCTGTACCAAATCAACAGTTTTGCTCCTTAGCTGCTTTGAAGGTCAGGAACACCCTTGAGGGGCTCAGATATCACAAGTCCCCCCTAACAACAGTTTGAGTTTGTGTTCGGTGTCCAGCGAAAGAACCTGCAGGTGAAAAAGGCCCTGGGCCAGGATTGGGATCGCGCGAAGCTGAAGGGTCCAGGGCTTCAACCTGAACGGGGTGCTTGGACCATTCAACTAGTGCTCCATCACCGGAATGGCAAGCACATCAAGTTATCAAGTGAACAGTGATTTGTCCCTTGCCATGTCATGTGAGCCATGTGAGCTGGGGAAGAATATAAACATATAAATATACATTCATTCAGCCCAGTAGCATGGTGTGTGTGTTTTGTGCCTAATTCACGAGTCAGCTCTCATGCGTGCCCTGTTAGCTGATTCAATGTTCTGCTTTGAAAACAGTTGTCCCGGCGATATACAGCTTGAGAAAACACTCAATAATGATTCAATTCTGGAATTCCTCTTTGCTTCGTTGGAACAAAGAGCGGATTGCCTCGTGCGCTTTGCCAGGATCCTTTGAAGTCATGAAGCAGGGTGCCAAACGCCCCACCGCCTTTAGAGCGAAAGAAACTCTAACCAACACAATCATGCCCCAAAACGCTGGGCAGACATAGAGTCGCATAACTCATAACATTGAAGACATCCGGCATGCCAGGTTTCGCTGTCAACCTTTTTGGAAGTGCCACACAAACATCCACGGGGCTGCTCAATGTCGTGTGTTTATTTCTGCTGCACAGGCTAGGTCCAAGTGATGGTCGTCGACTCATCAGATATTTTGGTTCGAATAGATCAACAAATAAAAGAAAGCATGTGAGTTCACAATCCATGGATCCAAACATAGCACATTGGACGAGAAGTGGTTTGCTCGGCCAATAGCTCTAGATTTAGGGCCCTGAGTGCCAGTGGCTGTGGCTGTTCAACTTGAGGGGTCATCTCGAGAGTCCTTTCTGCCTCGACCGAGCAGCCTCTTGCTCAGCTGACATGGAAGGATTATTCAAGACAGTCAGTTCCTCAACGAAATCCATGATCATCATTGGTGCCAACATAGAATGTCTGGCAGAACAATGTGGCAGAGACCTCGTGTTAGCCATGTCAGCAAGACCCACCGCCAACCACCCGTGTCCCACTCAATCCACACAGTAAAGTTTGCCTCTTTGGTTGCGGCTAGCACCATGTGTACAGGGTAGCATCCACCACATCACTGCAAGACATATCCAAGACACAAGGACTGAATTATATACAGTGTTGCAAAAACAGTGCAAAAACAGTGCAAACCAATCAGACCGCAGAATAGAAGAAGGCCTTTTCAGGCAAGGCAGCCTGTCCTTGGCTGTGAACCTGCTTGTTGTTTCTTTTCCGAGACCGAACACTTGCTGTCCTTCGGGAGCACATTTGTGAAGGCACTCCTGAGCCATGTTAAGCGGAGAAAACCCACACTCCGACTCACTAACGTGGAAGCGGAAAACGGGTGTCTTAAGTGGCCTTGAAAGAATCTGCCATCCCCTTTGGCCACAAAACAGCTTAACCACATGCAATCCTGCAAGAACGCAAGTGGTTGACCCACAGGTACTGTTGCTGTTGCAGTTCGTTCATCAAGGGAGAGAGTGTGCCGGGATTTCTATACTTGCAAGGCTAAGCAAGTCCCACAACAACAAAATAGGGACAGTGAAAGGAAATACCCAAAATATATAATCTGGCTCCAAATTGTTTTGTGGAACTTTTTTGTCCTTGATCCGGTGACCCCATGACCCAAAGTGCTCATTTCAGGCAGGATTGGCCATGTTAGATACAGACTTTTGAACAGCTGAAAGAGCCTTAAGGTCATGTGTAAGCCGTTTGTTTTCAGCCCTTGTCGTTTTCCATCCAAGAGTACACACCCCTATCCATACGGATGCACCCATGGTCTCAAACGGCAGATTCGCAAGAGTGCCTGCCTATACCGTCTAGGCGTTGCCCCAGCTATTGGAAGTGGCGATCTATGAATGGAAGGCGATTTAACAGGCTGGGATGACACAATGGACTAGATGATGCACCGCACACTGCCGATGTTTCAACTCAAACCTCGCAAACAATACTGAGTCAGTGTGCATTAAGATGGAACGTATTCAGTATGAATGTAATTGAATGCATATCTCTTGGAACCATGGTCTACTGCACTGGCGGCGCCACAGTAGATGTTGTCGGATGAGGCCTGAGGCCATCGATGCCCAATTTCCGGGTTCCGCTGGGGTGCTCATCGGACGGTGACGGAGTGTTTTGTTTGCTTTGCACTCATTTGAAAGGTTTGTGTAGAAACCACAACGATCGCATGTATTGTACTGTGTACTGATATGATCCTGTGGAGCAAAGATTAAGATTTTGCAAACTCCTTCCATGTGTGGGAACTTTCAGAAGGGTGTCCATAGATGGGTTGTGAATTGGAGTACAGACAGATGTCCAGAGAATTGTCTTGCATGTGAGCTCTATTTTATTCGGAGCAACACATGCCAAGCCATTGGCACAATTCAATACTTGCACTATTTGGGGTGAATGTCCTCACTACATAACTAGCTGTATGGTCATCGTTGTATGCTAAATTGATTCAGTACCACCCAGTTTATTCTGATCAGATGCATCTGAAAGCCAAAGACCATCAGGTGGTAGTTGCGGTGGTTGTGGCATGTTCCATGCATGCAATGTTATTTCTACTGACTGCAATGACTGCAATGCGTTCAAAGAGTTCCGTGTGCTGGGAGACACATTCAAATGGTCCAAGCAAAGCGATGAAACCGGGTGGACCTGCAAAGGTCGGACTGCAAAGACCTCGTGTTGGGGAGCTCAGGATGAAGAATTTTAAGCAGCCCACGTGCAGAAATGCTTTGTCGCACATTTAATAAATTCCGCCACTGGGATTCGAACCCGGGTCGCTTGGGTGAGAGCTGAGTATCCTAACCAGCTAGACTATAGCGGATTCTGTTGGGTAGAAGAGGGAGCCACTGTACCACAGGATGCGTGTATATTGAGACAGCACGCAGGCACCCCCTTGGTTGGGCCGGTTACTAGGTGTCACTGCAGAGATGTGCTGCTGCCTTCTTGGTGGTATATGGATTTGGAGATGCCTTTGTTCCTAGCAAGAATGCTCCTAGTCGTAAGGCCAGGAGCCCCTAGTAGCGTCCTTGCTCCTAGTAGCGATGCTCCTTGCTCCGTTCGTAGCTTCAGACCTGGACGTGGAGGACCCATCTTCAAGTTTGGACGTCGGTGTTTGGTTCAGACAGTCATATATAGGACAACCCTGCAGTTTTAGGATGTTTTAGGTACTTGGGATCAACCAGCTAGTGTGGATTGAATCTGGAAGCCTGAATCACTCTTCTTGACCAACAGCAAGCCAAGTCCAGCAACCTCAATCGAGCACAAGAGCCATGATTGAAACCCACGACATGAGGGATGATGAAAACTATTGATTCCGAGGTTACCTTGAGTCAGTCCTTGAGTCCTACACTTGGAAGTCTCATACCCCTCCATACCCGTAGCAGCAACTGCAAGGGGTGTGTGGTGTGCAGGCAATTGGTTGGACTGATGTGACAGCTTTTGGGGATGGACATGGTTACGTGATGCTACGCGGCGACACGCACCAAAGTCACGCGTTTACTCCGCAAAAGCCTCCAATGCAGACCGTTGGATTGTGGGAACCAGAGCTGCTCGAACTCCTTGTAGGTTGGGGGGCAGTCATGCCCAGTAGCCTATCAGCTTCCCACAGGCGGTGAACCCCAAGCTCCAGTCGAAAAGTCAGGGCCCCAGATCACCTAAGGCAGGTTGACGTGGTTCAGTTTACATTTTGCAGCATCATTTTGCCAATTGTTAGATTCTTCACTTCCATGCCTGGGGAGCACCCCCTTTCCTGCTGAGCACCCTGTCTTTGGGAACGGGACTTGCCACGAGTGGCCGAAAACAGGACAGGAGCTGGTCGTGTGCACTTTGGGTCCCGAGTCGTGCCCACTTGCTCAGGTGTTTTGCTCAAACCTCCGAAGATTGAATGTCTTGCGTTAGCTCTGATAGAATGTACGGACCAGAAGTGAATCGCACCACCTCCGGTAGCAGTACAAGGAGAACGGACGCCGTGGAAAGTCCCGACGGGCAGGGGTTGCAAGTGTTGTTAGGATCCCATTCTTAAATCGCTGCTGTACGCAGGCCCTAGACTCTAGACCTCAATGAATAGCGGCATCAAATGGCCAGATGCAATAGTCAATTGTCGTGACATGAAGGCCTGCACAGGACAGGTTTGCTGTGCTATGATTTGCTGAACCAGATTTGTCTTCTACTTTTTTCGCAGGAGAAGTAACAGGAGCTTCTCCCTGCATGGCGATCAGGCGAATCGCGCCGAGCAGCACATGGCACAGCTCGCGCGCTTCCTCGCTTATGTGGATCGGAAGCCCGAGTCCTTCGAGAACTCCATCAACAAATGGAGGGGTTTGGTTTTCCCATCAAGCTCTCTCGACGAGAAGTCTGACAGTCCCTTGATGGATACGAAGGGCCCCAAACAGGGTTCAGCCGGCTCAGTCTACGGCCTTCAGCAGGTGTAATAGGGTGTAATTCCAGATCAACTCGAGCGACTCGAGCTCCCAAATACTGGCAGGTTGGATCAGATGCTTTTGTTCCTTTGCTGACGAGCGAGACTTCCCAATGTGTAGATGGTCGTTTACGACGAACAGGCCAAAATATGCCATGATTTGTTTTGTTGCTCCAGCTCGAAGCAATAAATTAGTATATGACAAAGGGCGCATCGCTCATCCAAGGTCGGAAGCAACGTGAGATCAAATCGAAGCCCTGCATCTCCTTGATGGTGTCTTTGTGAGGCACAAAACAAAACCCCGAAGAATACCCAGTCCAGCTGGATGGGCCAAGAGGCCTTGTCTTCCAGATTTTCTACGATCTTCTCGCTTTTTCTTGTGCCCTCCTCTAGTGGAGATTTGGAGTAGCAGGCGGGGTCACAGAGCTGCGGGTGAGTGAGGAAGATGGATTTGGACGTGTATTATATATAGTATATATATATACATAACAATGTGCCTATATAGGTGCCTTTTACTATGGACTACGATTGGATGGATTCTGATTGGTGTTGATACCTTTCAGAGATTGAAGTCTTCAAACACAACGTATCAGAAGTTGCTTGGAATCCTCCAGAGTTTGTTCGGCTATTCATCTCAATTACTTACAGCACAAGTATTCATCCAGTCAAGGAACTTATCATTGGCTGGTTTGTTGGTTCTTTGCGGCTCTTGACTCTAAACACTCAAAATCCAACCAACCAAGTGTCCGTTTCAGCTTCACACCCATTTGGACGGTCAAGTTCGCGGAAAGCCTGCCCTTCCCTTTTCCAGGTTGGAAATCGGAGTGAGCAAATGAGCACTGCCATGATGCATCTAGTGTACAGAACTGACGGTTGGGCAAACGTCGAACGCAACCATCTCAACCAATGCCCTGCAAGAAGTCACACGATCCTTCGAACAAGTCTTAGAGCTTAACTGTCACTGTTGCTGTGTTTGATAAAGCCAAAC